CCCCCCCCCCCCCCCCCCACCACCACCCGATGCATCGATACACTATCAATAGTTCAGGTCGATGCATCGATGTTTTGAAAACTGCTATCGTGACAGCTCTAGTTATGTGAAGGATATTCATAGTGCACAGGAGAGGTAAGGTATCAACATTCTGTCCAATTTTGAGTTGGCTCACCATCAAAAGCCAATCAAAATCAAAAGACAATAGTTATATCATTTCATCCGTTGCTTTGCGAAGCACAAGGTGACTCCTACAGCTCGAACTACATAGAAAGTCTTATATTTTGGTGTAAAGAACCTGGGAGAAACAGATAATTTTGAAACAGTTCCTTGCATGCCCACCGTTATGGCAAGAAATGGGAAAACAGACTTGCTTTTAAGTTTGCACATGAATACGTTTTTGGAATAACTTGGATCATGTCCATGATATACTGTATATAAGGGTTGTTCGTATTTAAACGCAACATAGGAATTATTTGCCGCCTGTAGGTGGACTTCAGCGAACGCTATAAGGCCATCGAGTTGAATATTTGCAAGGAAACACACCAGGGATAGGTTCCATCCTTCCAGATATGCAACCCGGTGAGCAGGAAGGCACGCCCTGAACTCCACAAACAAGCGGCAGAAACTTCCCTCTTTTCTGTTTAAATACGAACACCCTGTATTTGGCTTGCGTATTCAAAATAGAAACATCAGGAATTTAAAAAGAGTATACTTCTGTTTCTGGATAAAAAACTGGAAGCCATTAAATCCATAGTTTTCTCTTGATGACTAGAGTGTTGTGTGTATGTTTTGCTGATGAAACTATGGGACGAACCATAACAAAGAATGTTCTGTCATAGGAAGGAAGAGTATGCATTGGATGCGGACGAATTGCATTTGCTGTGAAAGATAATACGACTTGAGGAATAAGTGACTAGAAATGGAACACTTGCGTCAGAAATTGAATCCGCTGTTATTACTGACTACTGAAAGGCAGGCTCTCCTTTTTCCCTTAAGTGAATCTTTATCTCTCAATCCTTTCCATAGAGGAGAAAAAGCCAAAGTGAAAGGATTACTCAAAAGTCACGCTTTGGCATTTCTCAGTAATTTATGTCGTGATAGGAGAATTACGTCTCCAAGATTTTATTCGCTGCTCTGTTTATACAAATATTCACATGTGACGACGGGTAGAAGAACCATGAGTTCCTCTTCTCAATGCTTTATACCAGAATTGCTTTACTTTGAGCTTCTTAAAGAGCGATTTTGCTACATGCTTAATGAAGATGAACCTCTCTGAGTGCAATTCTAAATACGAGGGGCGTACCGAAAGTAATGAGTTCTTTTGTTATTCCAGTAGAACAGCTTTCCAGACAAAGGTGAGGTCTTATTCGCACAAAATATTGTTTCCGCCACTGTTAGACATCGGGAATTTAATTGTTTATGCCCAGGTGGCAGCTAATTAACCATTGAAAATGGCACCTACTGTGGATGGTGTATTGAAGGAAAACGTTTTGATGAAGTCCCTCACAGGAGATTATGGAACCCGTGAAAGCATTCATGTGCGACTGCAGAATGTTTATGGGGAGTCTAACAACAGTTATGCAAGTATGAAACGGTGGGTTCTGGATTTCAACAGTGCTAACAGTGACATCGAAGAAAAACCCTGTTCAGGCAGGCCATCCACCGTTGACACCTGATATCAAAACGCATGTTGATGAACTGATCCGAAATTATTGTCGACTGACTGTTACCCGATAAATGATCGTCACGGAACAATCATCGTGTAACAGCCGTTTTACTATCAAAGGTAACAGCGCTGGATTGCACTACCTGAACGTTTTGTGCGTTCGATGTCATTGCTTTCACCGTTGAGGAAAACCCACAGTTCACGCTTGCATAACTGTTGCTACATTCATTATACACATTCTGTTGTCACACATTAACGTTTTCAGAGGTTTCATGTCCTTTTGTAAGGAACTCTTATCAGAGCGTTTTGCTTCAATACATCATCCATAGTAGGCACCACTTTCAATGGCTAATGTGCTGCCACCTAGACATGAAAAATTAAATTTCCGATCTCATCAGAGTCAGAAACAATATTTTGTGTGAATGCTATTTCAGGCTTGTCCGATTAATGATTTTCCTATAATGAACTGGAGCTCATTAGTTTCGGTACGCCACTCTCATTTCCTTTTCTTAAGAACCTTACCTATTCCACTTTCAATTTTTAAGATTGCAGTTGAGGACGTCAATGGTGTAGCGAAAAACACGGCCACAGTAACAGTGAAAGTGAAACCAAAGAACGACAATTTTCCCCAGTGGAGTGATCCGCCTTATGAAGGGGACACCGTCGTAAATGAGAACGCACCAAGTGGAACTGAAATCCTCACGCTGAAAGCCACGGATGCCGACAGAGGTTCGACTTCACTTTTCCCACACATGACCTTCATGGTTTATGATGAAACCGTTCTAAATGCAAAATGGTTTCCTTTATTCGAGCTTCTTGTTGTCACTATTGCATAATTACTTCCTCACAATTTCAGAGAAATACTGTTTTATGCACAGCTCCCTCTCGACATCTTCTCTTGAAAGTTATCCTGATGTCTATATCTTTCCACAGAGAATGGGGGCACTCTGTGGTATTACTTGTCTGATCGTTCATTCACCGGCAAGGAGTTGTTCAGCGTAGATTTGGAAACTGGGAAATTGTCCGTGGCAAATGCTGCTAATGTGGACTGGGAGACATTTGGAAGCAATCTCATCATCTACGTCGTTGCTTCAGATGAAGCTGATGGCCAACTAGGTACAAGACACAAACCTCTTGTTCACTTATCCTTCCGAAAAATCCAAACGTATTTGGGCACCATTCTGCCTTCATTTATACTTTTTTTTCTGTGAAACATTATCTGAATTTGACATTGGAAATCATCTACTCTGGTTTCCAAACTCGAAATCACATCTATAACTTGGTGCATTGTTCTTAAGATATTCATTATCTAGCTCCCTGGAGAGGTTTAACTGTTCCATGTTTAAACATGGGACATGAGTAAATTTCGAAAACTTCAATGACATGCATGATGCCACATGTCATGCCGTCGGTCTTAGCATCAGAGAGAAGAAGAGTAACTAATTATATTTAGGTATCGAATTCTCCGAGGTCATATTCTCTACAAATTACATGAAATGATTCCCTTGTACCCTTACAATATAAATTATCTTCATGATGTATACAGTAGTATGTACTTCTTATTGCACTTCATGCCACTGGCATTTTTTTTAGCCAGCCTTCTTTCACTTGAATATATATACTTTACATTTTCAATTTAGGGAGTCATCGAAACGAGACCAGCATTAGCATCACCATTTTGGACGTCAATGACAATCCCCCGGTATTCTCTATCCAAGAAATATCCGGAACCGAGAATACCAAAGAGGTAACATGCATTCGTTAACTCAGCTCGAAAGGCTGAGAATTCAACTGAACGCATTAAGGGTATTGAGCTTTTGTTTCGTGAAATGACCAGAACGGAACTCTGTCGGGGTTATTGACGGTGAACGATGTTGACCAACCGGGGACGAACAACACTGCCATGGATTTCGAAATCAAGAGTATAATATGTCAAAGTAATTGCGTAAATCCAGGAGCCTCAATGGATCTGGTTAAATTAGAAATTGAACCAACAAATGAGACGACCACCTCGAAATACAACATCAAGTTCGTAGCTAACATGGACTTTACTAGACAACGTGGCCGATGGACGATCGAAATCCTGGTACGCATTCGCATATCGCGAGGTTTTAATTTCTCTATTCTACGAAGAATGTTAATTTCCAAAAAGGGAATTTAAGTTAAATACTAATAATTAAACATATGTGTTCAAATGGATTAACAGTAGAAATTGGGGGCCTTCCCCATTCAAATTTACTAATTGCCAAATCTGATTTGTCTTTGTGCCTTTGCACTGCAGTGTAACAAATATTCTCTACCTATTGGAAGGAATCAAATAATTTATTTGCATGTAAGTTTTCCCAATTCATTTTCTGTGAATATCTTCGATTTTGTTTTTTATAGTTCTAACGCAAAGAATGATTGTCATTCTTTTTTCTTAAACCTGTGTTTTGTGGGAATGAAATATAAATTTCCCTCTCGTTCACCCATCATGAATACGGAATCGGTTTCAGGCCTACTTGCCTTAGACATTTGATACCACGTTATATATTTTATTCGTAATAATATGATTTGGCTGTTTTCAAGGATGATTCTGCAATTCTGCCTTGAGCCAAACTTGAACATTTCTTTTGATTCCACCTGGAAACGACAGGCAACGGACAAGGGAGACCCACCTCTTAGCACCACTCAGATTTGCTACCTCAATATCGAAGATGTGAATGACGAAGGACCGAATATCACAAAGCCGGAGATGGATGGATACACCTTCAATGTGATCGAGGTGAGGATCGTTTCCTTACGGGAATTTCAATGTAAGATTTAAATATCAGAGAGATGGAACTTGCTCGCATTGCAGAGTCTGGAGGTGGGTTCGCCCATCATCGACAGCAACACTGGCCAAGAGTTCTACATTGAGGCCACGGACAACGACTTGGGAGAAAATGCTGCTATAGAATTCATCATCCTCGATGACATAGGTTTGTTCAGGTATTACTATGTAGGTTAAAATAAATACTGGGATATGGTGAAAGCCCATGAATGGACTTTACTGACGCAAATAAATAACTCTAATATGTGCTTGAGTTCCTGGGGGAAACAGATTAACAGATGACTGCAGGATTTGATTTTTCATGCAAGAGTGTCACACGGTGGTCAAGTGGGGGAAAAATATATATTTTTAAACTTCGTGCTTCCAGTTTCTGGGCTTAGAATGGCGAAAGGCTACTCGGTTTTGCGATGCAAATGACTAGTTGTAGGATCATTTTGTTCGGTGACTTGTGCAATCCGAAGACATTTCGAAGTTCGCAACGCTTTTGATGCCAAAACTATGCGAAACGCGCATAAGAACATTTGAGAGAGAGATAAGAGATCATCATTGAAGAGGACGGGGCGTCACCTCATTAAAGACACAAAAACTTTGAGCAGTCTGAAACCAACACTTCCCTGACCGATGAATTAGGAGATATCGTGAACTACATGGGCGTTCCTGGGCACCTTTCTCACCTTACCCAAGACCAGTCGATTATTCTTTGTGCGTCTATTTAAAGTCAAAATGTATGCTATGAAGCCACAAACTTTGTCAGACTTGGAGGAAGGTAGTAGACCTGTAATTTGGAGAATTTCGAAAGAGATGTCCAAAGCTGCGAATGAGGTTGTTCATAAGTGGCTGAAGGGTGCATTGCGCCGAGTGGCAACTCGCCGAATTGAAGTTGTCGACTACAACTCGCCAAATGTTCATTTCGTCGAGTGACGATTGTAAGTCGGCGTCTTACAATTCACCGATTGCTCAACTCTCCGGATTAGGTCCTGCCTTGAACCCGTCCATTGCTCAACTTGCCAAAACTTCATTTTTCTTTGAATGCAGAAGCTGAAGCAGGCATTATTCTCCTCCGTCCAATTGTAATGGTATTGGAATGAGCCCACCTGAATTTTCGCGAGATGAAGGGCTAAAATAGGTCGCTTTGCAAGTTTGAATCACTTAAAAGATTTTCGTCATAGTTCCGGAACCGAATTAGTCCTTGCCTTGGTAAGGCGGTTTTTACAAGACTGGATGGCTTAATCCCTTCGCCTACACGACGGAACGAGGCATTTGGGGGTAGGGCAAGGCAATCAGCTATAAGTGGTTCTATGATTAAGGATTAGTGTTAATGAGGGTGGAATGAGGGGAACGGGCGTTCCTATTTTCTTTCAACTTAGGCTTCCTGAATAGTCTCTATAATAGAATACTAAGCCCATCCTTCCCAGTATTGTATATCAAAAGCCAATGCTTTGACCTGTCAGGATTGCGTTCTCGTAATGGCTGCCCTATAGTTTTTGACAACCCAGCATGGTCACCGTAAAATCATCCTTGATGGTTATATCCATATATCCATAATATATGATGCAGGCTATTAGGGCGTGTCGGGAGGCGAGGTCGGGGGTGCGGGTGACAGTATGCGCGATCCCGAGCAGGCTAGACAAGGGAGGCATCACGTGGTCCAGGTCGGAAGGGGTTAACGACAGGTTGAAGGAGGTATGTGTCGCGGAGGGGGCTGTGTTTCTTGACACTAGGGAGGCTTTGAGTCGCTGTAGAAGTCCGATGGCTAGGGATGGAGTACATTATTCGAAAGAGGTAGCTGAAGCAGTCGGATTGGCTATCATTAAGGAGAATGAGCCTTTTTAAGGGTTGTAGATGGGGGGGGGGGGGGGGG